AAGATGTGCTCTCGTAATGATGAAGCAAGACGAAGAAGGACAAGAGTTCATCGAGAGAATAGAAAAGCGTTTGCACGCCTTGAGCTATCATATGAGAAGTTACTTTTGGATCGATTTCCAGCAACTAAATGATATAAATCGTTATAAAACAGAGGAATATTCCCATACTGCTGTGAATAAGTTTAACGTAATTCCGGATTCGATACCGGAGTGGGTGTTCGACTTTATGCCGACACGTGGCGGATATTTCGTCGGAAATGTAAGTCCGGCGAGGATGGATTTTAGGTGGTTTGCATTGGGCAACTGTGTGGCAATATTGTCTTCTCTAGCCAGTCATGAGCAAGCATGTGCAATAATGGACCTGATTGAAGGAAGGTGGGAGGAGTTGGTTGGAGAGATGCCTATGAAAATATGTTACCCAGCTATTGAAAATCATGAGTGGCGAATAGTGACGGGCTGTGATCCCAAGAATACAAGATGGAGTTATCATAATGGAGGGTCTTGGCCAGGTATAGATAGTCATTTGCTTTCACTATATATAATTACGAATATCTAAATATATAATGTTGCAATGTGTGTATATTGCAGTGCTGTTATGGATGGTGACAGCTGCATCGATCAAAACTGGGAGGCCGCAGATTGCAAGACGAGCAATAGATATAGCAGAGAGCCGTTTGGGGAAGGATGGGTGGCCAGAATACTATGATGGCAAACTGGGAAGGTATATAGGTAAGCAAGCAAGGAAAAACCAGACATGGTCAATTGCTGGATATTTAGTCGCAAAAATGATGTTGGAGGATCCTTCTAACTTGGGGATGATTTCTCTTGAACAAGACAAGCAGATGAAGCATGTTTTTAAGAGATGTTCCTCCTGGACTTGCTGAACATCCTCAAAGAATTATTATTTTATTTGGTGATTTAATTCCCTCATTGTTGTTGTAAATATGATTACAAGTTTGTTTCTGTGTTACTTATCATATATGATTCTGATGAAGACGAAAGACATTCTTTGCAGTATCTAAACAACGCAAGCTTTCATTGAAGACAATCGATAAGAAATTACAACTCCTCCTGATACCTCTAAAAGTTGGGTGGCGGTTAATAAACATATTTTTACATGGACATCATTTTTGTGGTGGACACCATAAAAATCTTAAGACAGAAGAAGCACACACTAGTTCACTGTTGAGACATGAATGACATGGCTTTTTTGAAATCCAACGAGTTGAGGGAAGGTTGTGTTCCCGGCATCCACAAGTTTCCATGATTTGGTAACACTACCGGGTTGCTTTTTAATGCATCTTCTCCAACATTTGAGTCACTAACTTCCTTCTTTTTCTTCACAAATTCAAAGAACTCTGCCACCTGTCGTGCATACCTTCACACACAATAAATCCAGCACAAAATAAATTACAACATTGCATCACGAGACAAGTATAAAAGATACCCTTATCAAAAAACAGAGAAATTCAACAAGGAACATACTCCCGCTTAGCGTCTACGTCTCTGCTAAAATCAATGTCTGGTTCACAATCAAGAACCAATGCAGGAACCTGCACAAACCAAAATAAAAGAATATACATATATAAAAAAGAACAATAAAGAAAAACAAAATGTCCTGGAAAACAATTGAGATATAAGCAAGCAGAGTTTGCACCTTTTGGATACTAGAGTGCATATGATCACCATCCAAATAGAACACACGGTCCCTTATATTGGGATGCAAAGACCAATCGACTTCGTTAGGTAGCTTACTGACAGAAAGAACTCCGTGATTTCCACTTTGGAATGGGAAAAGCCAGCTCTCGTGCTTCTCGTGCAATCCTTGCAGATAATCTAGAGTTACTCCGCCTTCTTCTGCTCTCTTACGCAACATCATACGCTTGTGGCAGGTATCTGGGCTTGCCCTCAAATAGATAAAACCGTCGGGAATAAGACCAGGCAAGCTTGAAATAACCGGATCGAACCATGAGTCATAAATGCTAATTTCCATCTCATTCATCCACTTTGCCTCATGAACAGCTCTCACAAAAACCTTGATAACAAAGTGCA